GGAAGCTGCATGCCAAATGAGAATAGTGAAGATTTATATACTTTGAGGTTTGTCTCTGACATCCAATCATCACTTTACAGTTGCCGAAATGTGTAGTTCATATTTATGTTTAGTAACAGGATGTTACAAGGTTCAACATTTAGGAAGGTTAATTGAATTATAACTTGGCCACACCCTAGGCAAGTTAATTAAATTATAACTTGGCCAAACCTTTATTGGTAATTAAAGATGAGCCTTCAAGCTGACTAATCAGACTTATGTTTGGCCAATGTTATAGCATTTTCTTGCGTAGGTTTTAAGATGTACATGTATATGTTGCATAAAATAATAGAGTTCAAGCATGTAAAATATAACCAAAGTTGTACAGCACAATAGATTAAACAGGAATATCCATGCCAATTCTTCATTGTATGTTATCATTGATGAATTAAAGAGAGAAGCAGAGTTGATTACATTGTACAAGAAATTATTAAGTGAGAAAAAGATATGTAGACAACAGAGAAAGCCTTATCAGAAAATTCAAAGTCAGATCTTTGGCTTATGGGAGCAATTTGAGGTCAGATTAATATCTGCATCAGATTTATTGGAAAAGGCAGCCAGCATTTATATTGCATCATAAGTCATTCATTTAGCTTGTTACCATGCTATAAACTTAGTCTTTTATAATTTTTTTGCAGTTTGTTTTGTAATTTTTAGTTTTTGTTTTCAACATATCATAATATCATAAATACAAATTATATATTTATTCTCTCAATTTTCCTTTTCATCTTAATCTCCAAAGGTTTTAAAAAGAAAAATTCTCTTTCACTATGGACATTTTCTCCTCAGTTGTGGATGTTTTCTCCTGTGGATGTTTTTTTCTTGTGGACATTTTCTCCTGTGGATGTTTTCTCTTGTGGACGTTTTCTCCTCAGTTGTGGATGTTTTCTCCTGTGGATGTCTTTTTCTTGTGGACATTTTCTCCTGTGGATGTTTTCTCTTGTGAATGTTTTCTCCTCAGTTGTGGATGTTTTCTCCTGTGGATGTCTTTTTCTTGTGGACATTTTCTCCTGTGGATGTTTTCTCTTGTGGATGTTTTCTCCATAAACCAAAGATTTACTTTTACACAAAGAGTATTCCTATAATATAAAATTAAAAACAAAAACAACTACAGTATGGACCTGTTCTGTCAGAAATAAAAAGAGAAAATGTACAGCAAGCATCAATCAAAGAGGAACAAACTTTGTAATTGGAAAAAACCTACATAACCATTCACCAATAAAAAACTTAGAAACAAGGATTTCCATAAGAAAAGAAATCAAAGAAGCTAGTTCAACTGATAGAAATTTATCTGGCAAAAGAATTGCTGAAAGTGTATTGGTCAAATATTCAACAAACTCAAACTTACCAAATATGTGTAATTGTAAGGAAGTGGCAAATTGGAATAGAAGAAAGAACAGACCTATTGTACCCAATGATAAAAACTTTGAACTGAATATGACATTCATTCCTTCTGAATTTCTAAAGAAGGATATAAATATGAATAATGAGAGGATCATTATCTTTGCAACAAATCATCAGTTGGAGTTATTGTCAAAGGGTAAAATTTGGTACCTTGATGGTACTTTTAAAATTGCCAATGAACCTTTTGTTCAAATGTACTCTATTCATGCATTTTTGAAAAAAAATGGACAGCTTAAACAAGTTCCATTGCTTTTTTCTTTTCTCTCCTATAAAAAGAAAAGAGCTTACAAACTACTTTTCCAGGTAAGACTTCAATTCCATAAATATATTTATTGATAAGTATCAATATAAACTCTTTAAGGCTGTAAAAGACTTGGCAGGAAATTGCTCTCCCAGGAAATAATCTTAGATTATGAAAAGGTTGTTTGGAAAACATTACATGGCCTGACACTGTCTTGACAGGATGTTCATTTCACTGGTGTCAAGCAATATTCAGAAAAACTCAGGTTCATTAATTTCTAAGAATGTTTAATATTTAAATCATCAAATGTTTTGTTTCAGGATCTTGGTTACAGCACCAAATTTAGAAAAAAAGAGGGAGCTTGGGAATCCATGAAAATGATAATGGCTTTGCCATATTTGCCACATAGTATGATTGAAAATGAATTCATGAAAATTCAAAATGAACTGGCAAAAGAAAATAAGCTTACAGATTTGTTGGAATATGTTTGTAATACATGGATAAAAAGTTCATTTTGGCCTCCAGAGACTTGGTCAGTTTTTGATCAAAGTTCAGGACTAATAATCATCTGGAAGGTTACCATCACAGGCTTAACAAAATTATTGGAGAAAATGTTTCTTTCTATTTGGTCATTGATGAATTGAAGAGGGAGGCAGATCTGATTAATCTCTATAAAAACCTATTAAGTGAGACAAAAATAGTAAGACTTCAAAGTAAAATTTGTACCCAAATTCAAAGTGATATTTTCTCAATTTGGGAAAATTTTAAAAAGGGTGAAATTACAGCTAAACAGCTTCTTCAATTGTGCTCTGAATTGTATTACTGAAAAATAGTTGACAATTACTTTATATCAATAAAACTTGTTTCAAAACACTTATTATTAATTTAATGTTTCAAAAAAAAGTTTTTTTAATTTCATAGTTGCTCCATCAAATATAGTCTAAAGTTCTAGAATCTATTTCTACAAAATAAAAGTATTTCTAAAGTTCCACCATTCTAATTCCTACAAAATAGAAGTCTTTCTAAAGTTCTATCATATCTAAAGTCTAAAAATCATTATGTTGTTTTTTCTTGCAATTCATAAATGCTTTCTGTGAATTCACCCACATTACCTGTCAATTCATGGATGTTTTCTGTCACTTGATTAGAAATTTTAATTCTCACAAGATTAAGCTAATGAGAAAAGTTACATGATATGCTGTGAGAATAAATCATTCAATATGTATATATTTATCATATTCTCTTGTCAAAATATCTTTTTTTCAACCTATATTTGCAAAAAAATGTATTTTTATTGTAATGGATGTTTTCTGTCAGGATGTGACAGAAAATGTCCACAAATTGGTGCTTTTACCCTAACCCTAACCCAGCCCTTAGCTGTACCTAACCTTTTCCATTACCCCTAACCCTTAGAGGAGACCCTCCTAATTACAAATCAGTTGCTCTCTTCTTCTTCCTAACCATTTCTCAATCCAAATTTTTGTCTTGAAATTTCTCATTTGTGGACATTTTCTGTCAACGCCTTTCTGTCATGGACGTTTTCTGTCGACGCCCTCTTCTAAGGGTCAAGGCTAATGGAAAAGATGAGGTACAGATGGGTTAGGGTAAAAGCACTGATTTGTGGAAGTTTTTTGTCACATCCTTAGATATGTTATCCATTAGTTGTAATGCTGTGATTGAAGCAACATCAAATTCGTCTCAATATTCAATTTCAATTCTCTTGTATCATTTATTTTGAAGCCTGCAGACTTTTTCATCACTCAAAAGTTTCTTGTAGAAACTACTTCCCACTACTTGTTTTTCCCAACCTTGGGACATTTTTTCCCAACCTTTAGGACATTTTTTCCCACCCTGGGACATTTTTTCCCAGGGACGTTTTTTCCCAAGGACTTTTTTCCCATACTCTTTGTCAATTTCATAGTGTCTCCATCAATCTTGGTTAAAGAATATATTTCTTATAAAAATATGATTCTTTTCAAAGGTTCCATTATACTAATTCTATCAAATAAAAGTCTTTGCAAAGTTCCATTATTCTAATTACTACAAATAAGAAATCTTCCTGAAGTTACTTCATATCTAAAGTCTAAAAATTACCATATCACTTTTTTAAATGAACAAATATATCATTTCAATGTTGTTTGTATATTTTCAAATTTGATTGTGGCTCCATCTGCTTTTAATAATATATTATATTTTCTATAGAAAAGAACTTACTACCCTGTTGTGAAAGAATATAAATGTGCATTGTTTAGAATTATTATCTATGGAATTAATTTTATCTTCTCTTCTGCATAGTTGACAATTAGCTGAGTCTGCTTCTCGATTGTAATAATAGTTTCTATAGTTTTCAATTGGTGTTGCATAGTATATCTTAAAGTGGATGGATCGTGTATAAGTTGGGTTATAGTGCTTATAGCTTCTTGAACATCATCAGGCACATCATCAGGTATTAAACTATTCAAATTGCTAGTGAATGAGTTCTCTGAAGACTTTAGAAAGTTGAGAGATTTAAGAGCCTTTTCACAAGCCAGAAAGGATATATTGATAGCATTTTTGACATTAAAAATTAAAATAGAACACAAGATAATGATACAAACTTGATGACATTTATATAATGCTCATCGGCTTGCAGTATATTCATTTACAACTGCATTTAAATCATCCCTTGCCAATTGAATATACTGTTTTGCAAAAAGTGGGCTTGGTTTTACAAACTTGGTTTGGCTTGAATAAACACTGGAATTGTTGGATATAAACATTTCTTTATCATTAATTCTTTCTTTGGCAGAAATTTCTAGTTTACTTTAAAAAAAAAACATAGAGAATTATTCGGCAAAAAATAATAAATTCTAAAAAAGTTACTCACTCTTCAATGAATTGTACTACTCCTGGTGTAAAATTAGCTTGTATAATTTCATGAATAGCTTCTTTCATATCAATGCATTTAACTTTAAAATGATCATTATGTTTTCCTTCCAACCAATTAAAGAATATTTCAATTATACACTAATGATATAAATATATTAACAATTAATTTTGATTTTATTGGCAAACTACAACAACTAACCTTTTTTTGTACTTTTAAATCAAATTGTAATAATAAGAGTAGATCTTTTTCTAGCATTCTCTTCTCACAACTCTTGGTATAATAATTAATTTTTTCTTTATTTTTAACATTTTTAAGGTAAAATAGATCATATCCCTTTAATTTTATATATTTTTGCTGTTGATATTCAATCATGTATTCATTATTCCATGTATTATCTTTGTCAATTGAAACAATTTCAATTATCTGACAAACACGAAATATAGCTTTTTACTCTTCACTGGCAACATTTTCAGTCAAGAAAGTAGTTAAATTTGTTGTTTCCTGATATATGACCATTTCATTTATTTCAAATTCTGATCTTATAAGAAATAGATCTAAACTTTCTTCTTCCAACAATATTCGACCAGGTAGAGTATGATTTTCAACACACTTTTGCATAGTAAATTTATTATCAGCTAAAATACTTGATATGTCATTTACTTTAGGAGAATATAGAGATTGGAATAAAGTTTTAAAAACTGTCTTTTTATCATCTTTCAAATCAAACAAGATATGTTTTGCCAACTCTTTAGCATGCTGTCTCATATTATTTTCCAATATCTGATTAGTAATGTCTATATTTAGATAAAATACAATGATCTTTTCATCTTTGCTCTCAATAAAGTAATTGTAATTTACAATATGTTTTTCATTTTCAAAACTTATTGAAATTTTCAAGTTAGATACTAATTTAATTTCAATATTTGTTAATCTTTCTAAATATTTTTCTTTAGTATTTCCAGCATCAATTTGACAGAGCATTGAAATTAGAGCTACTTTTAATGGTATAGATCTTAAACGACTTTTCGAATAGTTACCAACAGCGCTGTCTTTAAAATTACATAATCTTTCATTAAACTATTCAATCTTTTCCTCAACAATTTCCGACAAAATTTTTGGCCAAAATTTTTTATTCCAATGGAAAAAAAATACTTTTGATATAATCAAATCTGTATTTTCAATAAATTGATGTTTTATCAGACTTTCTTTTAATTCTTGATGTATTTCTATGTCCAAGAAATAGAGTTGTTGAGAAGGATTTAGGAAGAAATTACCATTTTTATCCTTTGTTATAAGATACAGTTGAGAATCAATTTCATTAATTTGTTCACTTTGAATGATTGTTTGAAGATGTTGTATTACTAATTTAACTGCATTTAATTTTTTGGTATTTGTAGAATCTTTTTAACATTATCAATTGAATCCTTGGTGTTACTTAAATAGTTAAAAATATAATGATATATTTCAATGATTGTTGCTATTTTTCCACTATTGTTATCTATCTCTTTTCTTATAATTGTATATAAATTTTCCAGATTTAATTGAACATCTGCAATTGAAATTTTATCTTTAATCTGTAATTTTTGAAAATTGGAAAAATTTCGAACAGTTATATAGGAAAAGCCGTCCAAAACAGTGAATATTTCTCTTCAGAAGTATTTATATATGAATTTTTCATTGGTATTAAAGAATCCACTGATTTCTTTAACTCTTCATATTCATTTTTAACTTTACAACAATGAATAAAGGGATAATTAATAATTCTGTTCAATTCAAAATCAGTCCATTTGGATAAATCATTATTGAAAAGAAATTCTAATATTTCCACATCATAATTTTCATTTGGATATTTTGAAGCAATTTCACAGAATTTCAAACAAATATCAAATGAAATAATCTTGTTCATTCCCAAATTTATCAGAAGATCATCTATATCTAAATAAGAACAAGAATCTTCTAAAAAGATAGGATTATCCTTTTTTTTTCAATTAAATATTTTTTATAGATTGGAATTCTTTTCAAATTGAATTTCTTTTCAAATTTACTCATTGTATCTGTTGGTTTTCTATATTCTCCATCTAAACATTAAACAAATTTAATGGATTTTAGAATATTTGTATAATTATTCTGTTCCTACTTCAGACATTTTGATAAATCCAAAAGGTATTGAATTTGCTGTTCAATACTAAAATTTATTTCTCAAAGAAATGGACTGATGAAACAAGATTTACTTCTTCTCTAAGTAAAAATTTCCATATGTTAGAATCCTTGTAAATTTGAGAGTCTGAAATTTCAATATTAAAATTAGATTTCCATGAGTTTTCACTTGTGAAGTCCAGGTTAAAATTTTTCTCCAACACATAAATATTTTTATTGAATATATATGTAAATTTATTATCAACTGTTTTAAAAACTGGTAAATGGAGGAGCTTTCTATCACAATTTTCTTTTTCCAGCTGTAATATCCCATAAAATATTTTGTTTAACTCACTGATATTTAAGTTTTCATAATTTAATTTTGGCAAAATATTTCCATCATATAATGTTAAACACAATATAAAATCAGAAATATTATCATAACTGGTAAAAACTATATTTGAAAAATGTTCTAAAAATTCCATTCTAAATATTTGGGTATCTGGTTGGAAAATATTTAACTTTTTAATTATGTCATTATTTCCCAAACAAATTGCTTTCTGGTACTTTAAGGCAATAATGTAACTTTTATCTGTTGATTTACAAGGTAGCAGTGAGTAATTTGCAAATTGATGTAAAAAATGTTGTGAATCATTGGCTAATTTTTTGGTGTCAAAACTGTAATTGTTTACCCATTTCCAAAAGCTAGTAATATAATTTTCAAATTTCTCTTGATATTCAACAATCCCATTTGATTTTTTAAGCTATTCTGGTATATTATAGGCTATATATTTTATTAATAAATTTGCATTGGCTTCTTGTACTATTCCTGTCTGTATAAGTTTGGAAACTAATATTGTATGAATAATATTCCTGTTTACAACATAACCAATCATTTTTTGAAATAGGAGAGGGTATTTTGTTGCTAGTTTTAAATCCCATTGATCAAAAACATTTAATGTATTCTCTTCATTCAAAAACAAAGGCAATCTCTGTAGATCATTTTTTGTAAACTTATCATTTTCTACTGCAAACTCCTCATCAATAAACTCAATAAATTTAAGTAGATTTTCTACATCACTAAATGGTGTCTGTTTGATAGAAAGGGGAAGTTTTCCAATACAATGATATTTGGATAATAAAAATTTGACAGTTTCCATTGAATTTACTTCAGAAATATCCATACCACCTACTTTAAATAGTTGTTGTAATGTTTATATGCACTTTTGTTATTTTCATTCGAATATCTTTTAGAATCTTCACACTTTCAATTGGACAATGATATTTGTCATTATGTTCATTGTAAGATAGCCATTGAATTGATGAATTTGAATATTCAAAAGCAAAGATTCGACTATGTCTTAAATTTTCCATACAGCCTTCGCATACACCATTTACGAAAGGATCCTCAACTTTTAATGTTGGAAAAAAGTTGTAAAAATTTATGAGGGTCAATTGTTTCTTCTCAACTAAAATTTGTACTTTTTCAATAATTCTAGCATAACAATTTCCTATAAGTTTTTTGAAAATGTACAAATTCCATTTGAATTCCAATGAAGTATCATTTTTATTGTCAAAGTTTTTTCGAATTGCTCTTCGGATAGAGTCACAAACCCAATAGGTCATCTGATTCAATCCATGTTTTCTAAAGTGATCAGAGACCATTATGGTGTATAAATCCTATCCCTATGAGATCTAGTGATCAGACATGTTTACAAGTTACAATAGTACTGGTGTACTACTCAAACCTTAAGCAAATGTTTAAATTAAGTGGTTTATTCACAATAAAAATATAAAAGTTGAATAGCAGAGTAGATAGTTCATAATAGCAGGTTGCCAAATTTTGAAAATGTCTTCCAATATTGAGGAATAGAAAGCTTGTTTCAGCGGAGGTTGTTTCCAGATCATCTTTTCAGATGCTTGGATCAAGTTGTGAAAGTTCAAATGAAAACACTGAGGATTTATATACTTGGAGATTTGCCTCCAATTTCCAATCATCACTTTACAGTTACCAAACTGTCTTGTTCATGTTTATCTTTATAGAGAGGATGTTACAAGGTTCAACACTTAGGAGAGATAATTGTAATATAACTTGGTCAAAGTGTTTCAGAGTGAGTGTGAATCATGTATCTTAGGAATGTGATCTGCTCATACAGCTATTTTTCAATTTGACTTAATGTCACATCACAAGATAATCGTAATTGTTATTATCTCCATCATCATTGGAAATGACTATGATAAGCTAACATTCCTATTTTCAAATAAAACCTGATCTTTGATAATGATACCCTTCATTTTCATATTTCCATTGCCTTTAAGGTTAATAGATTCAGGACGTCTGTACTTTGTTGTATTGTAATTGTAGGAAGTCCTAGCTCGTCACTATCAAATTCGTCCTCTCCAATCATTTACCAATGTGCCAAAGTACTGGTCCAAATAGAGCCTTTCAAGTTCGTCCACAAGTAGTCTTAATAAATGTAATTCCAGTAAAAATTAACCAACAAACACCAGTATTTCATTCAAAGAATATGTATTTGAGTAAATGAGTTTCTAGTTCTAAACAAGCAAGTTTGAACAACCAGCTGATGGTTAGAAAACTGAACTAACTACTGTTAAATTTGTAGGGTTTATATACTTTTCCAATAGTTCACAGTTCACAGATAAAAATATTCACACAAACAAATGTAACAATTTGGATAAAGGGAAAGTTCAAATATACTTCCATGTTTGTTACTTTTTCTTTATCTTGGAGAACTTTTGCTCCCTATTTTAGTAGGTCAGAAAGTTGCCTAAGATGTAACAATTATTAATAGAAGTTGGATTGATTCCAAAACACAAAAATAGGAAAAGGTCAACTTGATGCCATTTTAATATACAACAAATTATTAATAATAATTGTTTGTGTAAGATAATATGTTTCTGTGTAAAGGACTGGTAGGATAAAAGTATTAAACTTAATCATCCAATATAGTATTGTGGATACAATACTGTTCAAAAGTGACAATAATCTAAAAGCTCCAAATATAAATAGAATAGTGGAAGATATAATTAATATTCATTAAATATGATGTGTATAATAATTAGGGTTAACATCTAAGTTGTAAAATACTTTTACAACTTAGTTTAAATAGTGTATGTTGTAGTTTTAGGCATGTAGAGTACTCTATAATACTCTTTCAATATTGCTTTCCATTGATGAATGAAATGTAACAATTTGGGTGTATTGTGTGAATTTGTGAGCCTGGTTACAAGCTTATGTGTTTAGTACCTACGAACTGCCTAAATGTGTACAACGTCTACAAATTAAAAGATCTTTAAAGCTTTTCCAAACATTCTTTGTTAATTTGCAGTATTCTAAATTTATTTCCTTCAAACAGTACTGCATATTCCAAAGTTTTTCAAAAACAGATGTTAGGACAACACTTCACTTACACTTGAATATTCTGTAAAATAAAATTCTTACTAAAAATAATATCATGTCAAAAAATTAATGTAAAATTTTTTTTCCTTGTTTACCTATTCAGTTCATAATCCTGATAAAGTACTCATAAATAGAAAACAAATCACCTTCTATGATCAAGATACTTATCTTACAGCTGAAAAACTTGATTCCCTAAAGTCAACACTATTCATAGTAAATTGTACAATTTTTGATGCTATTACATAATAAGGATATTTTGCAATTTAGTTTTCTTTTATCTGTTAGATAAAAACGGTAAGAATTTTTTGTGTGAACCTAATCTACAGTATAGGCCAAAAGTCCCCAGCCACCTTGTAAAATTTCTTATTTAGATATTGAGCTATACAGAATAACTACTTTGAATTAGTAATAGTAATTATTACCATGTAGAGGGGTCAGGTGCGAATGTATCTGTTAGCAAATATTTCCAAGCCTGAAAACATTTTAGGAAAGGGTTAGTTTGAATATTTGGATGAATTTATTGTTAGAGGGACTCCAATTTAGGATTAGGAAATATAAAAAACACAGATATTACACTGAACTTTAGATATATTAAGGTAGGCTTCAACCCTCCATAGGTATGGGTTAGGGTTAGGTCTGTTTTGCTGTTCTTTTTTCCTAAAGTAAAGGAGAGAATAATGGCATTTATCAAAAATAATAGGAAATTACCACAGGTAGTTATGTAAACTAGATCTTCAATGCAAATTTTACAGTAGATGTTGTACTTATTGTGGCTACTTTAAACAAATATGATGTTCCAACTCATGATTGTTAATGATGTATTCTCTTTGTTTTTTTCATACATAACTATGATAGAATTTTGAAAGCCCTACCTAACCATACCAAAATAACTCTAACAATGGTTGTTTTTAGGCCTGTGAGAAATTATTGTTGTGTCAGAATTGACAAATAAAATATTTTTCTACCCTTCACTGACTGCCTTTAAAGAAAAAGAGGTGTGGTTTTTTTTATCAATAAAAGATATTTTCTGTGTGACTTTTAAATAGGCTCACATTATAAAGAATAGTCAGAATTGTAATAAACCATAAAAAAGTATTTTTCACTGTGAATAATAGCTGATCTTTATATATATATATTTTTGAAGGACACTTTGTTGAGAACTTGAACACAATGAGAAGTTTTTTTGGAGACATTTCCTAAGCTGAAATTGTCTTTTGCCTCTTTGATAGACCATTAAAGTTACATTTCATCGTTAGGCAACTATTTCTAGCATTACTTCTTAAAATTCCATAACTTCCAAAAGTTGAATAGTGGCTTACTAAGGCCCAAGTACATTTACTCAGGAGAAAAAATTCTGTATATATTTTTAAGATTCCCTGACAGGATACACTATTGTCCCGATAGTGTTTTGGTGTACCTTCAATCATATATGTTGAATATTTTTTATCAGTCTTTAGATAATTTTGTACTAATTCACTATCTAATGCAAAATATACAATTGTTGACTTTTCATCTCCTTTAGGTATCATAGGTTCAATGTTTAAAGCTTCCTTAACACATCTCTCTGACCATGACCTTGGATGATTATATTCAATCCAACCAGTTCTTATCTGAATGCATATTATGTTCTTATATCTGTTGAAAATTTTCTTGTGCTTTTCAATCTCCTTTAACAAGCTGCCTTTCGGTTTAAATAATTTGTCGAAGTAGTGTAAAAATATCTCAGTGTCCGTTTTATTTTGTCTTATGAATTTTGTATTTGGAAATTGAACTAAATATTGTTGTTTAAAAAAGAAAGAACAGCTATATATACCAATAATTTTTTCATTGAATGTCATATTTGGATTAAAAGCTCTTGGAGCCTTTGATTTACAAGAATAAGTAATATGTTTATGTTTCTTCAATTTATGTTTGTCAATCATTTGAACTGAGTCAAGAGAAAAATATTTATTTAGAGGACAATTGACATTTGGATTATTTGAAGAGAGTAGAAGTGTTCTATTTAAGATTTCCGCTAAAATTTTACAAGATATTAATTCTCTTATAGTATTACCAAATCCTGATTTTATATCACAAAACAAATAGAATGTTTCATCATCTAAATTCTCAATTCTATATGGTTCCTTAAAGACAAATATAGTCCTATACTATTTTGTAAAATATTTATGAAACAATACCTCTTTTTCTATTTGGAAGTTGTAGGAAACATCAATGTTGCTTTTGAATTTAACATTTAAATACATATTTCCTTTCATTTGTAGAAAAGTTAATGTTCCAATTAACAAAGTTAATATCGTGAAGAAACCAAGAGCTATTTTTGAATTTTTTATTGCCATAATTTTTCTGTAAAAGAAAAGTCAGTATATGTTATTTATTGACACTGCAAACAAGTAGATTATAAATCTTAAGCTTATTCTTAAAACTTTTATCCTGATTGTCAAATGAGAAAAATTCTTTAGGACTTTCTGCTTCTTCAGAACAGTATTCATCCCTTCCAATCATTTATCAACTTACCAAAGTACTCAAACAAATAGAACCTTTCAAATTCGTCCACAAATAGTCTTAACAAATGTCATTTCATTAGAAATTAATCAACAAAATACCAGTATTTCGTCCAAAGAATATGTATTGAGTAAATGAGTTTCTAGTTCTAAACAAGTAAGTTTAAACAACCAGTTAACCATTAAAAAACTGAACTGACAAGCTGGAGAAAAGCATTTCCTTTTATACATTTCCAAAGCTTGGGTTCAAGTGGTCAAAGGATTACAAAGTTGAAATGTAACAATCTCATAATTCTCATGTAACAAAAATCTGAAAGACTGTTATTTAACAGTAAAACCCTGTTTATTATTTACATATAAAATATAATCCTAAGATTAGGGCCACATGCCAGACATGTGCCACAGTAAACAGGCCTGTCTCATCAGCATCTGGTGTTTGAATCAGCATCTGGTGTTTGACCTGCTTGTTTTCCTTGTTCTTTGTTCGTTTGTTAATTCCCAAGTAGCCAACATCTGTTACAGTCAAAGAGTCTATTTCTTAGGAAATAGAGTTCTTTCTAGCAATTTTGTAATATAAAATAAGATATTCTGAAGGTCAGATTTCGAGTAAAAGATTCATCTTAATCAACCTAATCTCAGCAAAGCACATACCCTTATTCTCTTTCACACACATACATTCATACTGACTCATACTTGCACCCAACATGATTATTAATCTAGTTATTATTTTCAGAGTGTAAATATTGCTTGAACGCACACACATCTATGTTTATTTGCCAGATTTTTATTTTTATTTAAAGAATCAATTGAAGATTGCAATATAAAAAAAAAACTATAAAAAATTATTTCATATTTTATTTTGAAGAATCAATTAAAATTCACATATATATTTGGAAACAGCTGTCCAAACTGAAGTAGGTAGACCAACAATTGTTCCAATTTATAATGAACTGACTAATAACATAACTTAAAGCTAAAAATCAAAACTTTTCTCATTTTGCGATTCCTAACCCTAAAGTTCATCCAAAATGACCTGAAAAAAAAACTAAAAAAATTAAATTTAATCTAGAATGAAAACTATCCAAACCCTACAAATGCTATAGTCTAGTCTGGCATCAACTTCATATATTCCTGTTTATTTCTCACTTGAAGAATTCAAGTTCAATATATCAGTATCACTTTTTGTAATGACATATCCTCGAATCATATTCTTACAGTATGGGCATTCTAATCTTGAAAGTTTCATTGTACAGTCTATACAGCTTAGTAAATGACAACAAGGTAGAAACAAAGTATTAGCCATGTTATTATAGCATATTTTACACTCCAAAGTCTCTTTTAATTGACAATATTCATTTGAATATATTTCTGAATTCCTGAAATCAGAAACAAAAGATAAAATAATAAGAATAAAAAAATAACTATTTTCTTACTTGAACTCTTTCATAGTCAACATTCAGAGTTTTAATATAGATTATTGCAAATCATTAATGTTCATATAGTAAAAACTCACATGTCAGTTAATTTAAATAAATTTTTTTGAAATTTAAAAAAATTATAAACTTGGATGGCTATTGGCTAATGAATTATTAGTTCAAACATTTTATGTTTATGCTCAATAGTTTTCTTTTTTTTTATTCTCAATTTTTTCATATTTTTTCTCTTTTATTATTAAATGTTTATTTAGTATTATTTTCTTTAATATTACCAATTAAACATCTAGAATTTCATGGGTACAGTTTTACTAAAAAAGTGGTACAATTTCACCTGGGTACAGTTTCACTTGGGTACATTTTCACCCAGGTACAGTTTCAATTAATAACCTACTATAATTTCTAATTATTGATTAAAAATTTTATTGTTGTCTGCAACATTCTTATTTGACCATTGCTGCTTGTCAACTCTATTAAGCATTTTTTATTTAGATAGAAATGGCAATAGATCCAAATTCTCACGAAATTGTTTTAGACATTAAATACCTTCTTCACCAGGAATTTCAAAGTAAACTTTTCCACTTTTGATTTATTTCACAGAGAAAAAAATTTCTTCTTTTTAGATTTTACTTTGGATGGGGATTTTAATTTCATGGATGAAAATGTTCCAAATGGAATATATTTCTATCATGATGCTAAATATGTAACTATTGAAAATAATTTAAAAAAAAAACAATTTTACAATTACTTTCTTTTTGTTAAAACTGTTAGGATGTAAACAGAAAAAGCTCTTTAAAATTATTTTCAAAATGGCATGAAACCCATAATGGAGAGGGAAAATTTACTTTAAAGATATTTCAACCAGAAATATTGTGTTCTGTTCAATTTGTTCGTGAAACCTGTGTTTTTAAGTACGAAGAAAACTGTAGTATTTACAGTGAGTTGAAACATTCAATATTTCAAAATTGATTAATTTTTCTTGTTTTCAATAAAAGAAATTCCATTGAATAATGTTGAAAATTTTAAAAAATGTTCTGTGGTTATTAAATTCAAAGTTAAACATGATAGAATTCATTCTTTAAGAATTGGAGCATTCAACATACAAAAAAGATTTGGTTAATATATAAATTCAACATTTTCTCAAAGTAGTTAATTTTAAATAATTTATCTCATAAGGGTGAAAATGAGGAAGTTAAAAATCAATTTAAAAAAGTATAATTAATTATAATTTTAAAATTAAGTGCTTTTTTTGTTTTATTTACAAACTGTAAAATTGATAACAGACAGTTAAAAGTTTTGATCTCCTTCTCTTACAAGAAGTAGCAAAAGACAAAAAGAAACTTCCAAATTTTTCCGAGATTTTGAGGTCTATAAATACAGAATTAGTATCAAATGGAGAATCTCCATATTACGCATTAGTTGGCAAGGAATACCACAATTGTGAAAGATATTTCCTTCTCTATAATACAAAATACCTTGTTTGTTCTAAATGTAAAGAATATGAGGATAAGGAAAAAGAAAAATTTTCTAGACCACCATTAATTGCTACTTTTCAAACAAAATATTGTCAAGTTGATAAATTCACATTTATTCCTTTGCATAGTCGTCCAGATAAGGAGGCTAAAGGAAAATATCCCAACTTTTGGAGAATTATCTAAACTTTTAAAAATTCCTGAAGAATTAGAGGAAACAGAGGTTAACTAAAAATTCAATTCTTACAGAGAGAATTTTTTTTGTGTAGAAATTTCTTGTAAATATTCTGAAAATTTTATATTTTTAAATTTACCAGAATGATACAGATTTTATTATTGGTGGAGATTTAAACTGGTCAGCAAGTTACTGTTCTGCAGAGGATAGAGCCTCTTGACAATATGTTAGAAACCACAAATATTATACAATGTACTCCAAAAGTTGGAACAAATAAGGGAAAAAACAAAGAGTACGACAGGTGAGTTACACTTAAAAAAATACTTTCAAAGATTCTTTTTTAATTATTAATGACTTTTTTTTGGATTTGTTAAAAGGCTTTTTTTAAAAGGAGAACTAATTAAATATTTCAAGTTGGAGGATTTGTTGATTACACCATAACGTTTAGTAATCATTTTCCAATTGGATTTCATATTCAATCCTGTGATAAAATGTGAAAATATAAAATAACAAAATTACTCTCCCTTCAGAGTAAAGATTTTAGATTTCTCTCTTATGATATACCAAACCTGGAGGAGAGAAATTTTATTGTACAGCAACTCAATATAGAGATATTCACTAGGGAATTTATTGAAAATGTTACTTCATTCCTAAATAAAACTTATTTAGCCTGTTATATAAAAATTGACAACACACAGTTTAACAATCTCTATTGTCTCAGAGATTTGAATTCACAATCTTTGCAGTTTCTATTTCTCATTAACTTTTAGATTAGTTGTGTAATTCATTTTCCATGAGCAGGGATAAAGTTTGGTTGGTTGGTTGATGGACTAATTGAAAAATAGCTTTGCCACACCTTTTCCAAATAGTTAAACCTCTAGGATGACTCATTGAAATATAATTGGGGGATGAAGTCTTGGTGTGTTTCATATTTAGGTTAGATAATCAGATGAGTTGGATAGAGTAATATAGATCAAGATGTAAAATAACACAAAAGTTGCACACTATATCTATTTAAAAATTTTTGAAATTGCCCACAGTTTTGTGGTTGTATCCTAACCCAGCCCTGGACTCCATTTCACGTACTTCAGGCTATTTAAAAGATTTCCAAGAACAAAAGTTCATAATAAAGTAGAAATTAAAATATTTAATAACAAAACAATGAATGAATGAAGACAAACTAGAAATAGCAACTTACAAGGATTTTTGTAAACAGGACTGTTAGAAAAAGATACAATAGAAAAAAATTTAAAAATTTACAATTTAAAATATTCCAGTTTTGAAGTAAATTTGAAAAAAGAGAATTGATTTTTTTCAATCCTTGTATTGTGATTGATTGATAATAAATTATTACTATGATCATTATTTGAACATGCTACAGATTTCAATTTCAACTTAATTTATTTATCATTCAAGTCTAATTTATCATAAAAAAATCTATTTTTGGTAATTTTAGTCTTTCTAAGAGAATCCAGTTTGAAGATATATTTTATAAATTTGTACACATACATTCGTCAGCTATATTCTAAACAATAGAGAAAGTAGTATTGAACCAGTATTGTATATGCAGATAGCACTGATAAAGATAAGCAGTAGTGACCTAGTTTTCGCATAGGGCAGTGCATACACATTATGCAGCAATAAAACCTATTGAATTATATAAAGAATATTTGCTATTTGCAACCTAGCATTAATATTACAATTTATTAATCCATACATTTATGATTTCCAACTAAAACTAGTTCAATTAATTATCAATTATGCTTAAATTCTAAGTTTAGATTATATTCACTATTCAACAGTATTGTATACACAATACTGTTCTTTTTAACATGCATTAATCAGATATACTTCCTCCTTATATGCTGATGCTAAATTTACTAACTCAATCAATTCAATATCATTATTAAGTAGAATATAAAAACGGTCAAATATACAATCTACATGTTTTCTTGATTGTTGGACTTGTCCTACTAAAATTGTTACATCTTATGCAACTCTCCAACCTTCGAAATTCAACTATTATTTAGAAGAGGAAAACAATAAAAACATGACCATATTTAGAACTTTTCTTTGTCTTCAAATGTTACTTTTGTTTTTGTGAACATTGAAATTTGTGAACTATCAACCCTTAAAAAGAGTATATAAACCCTACGAAATTAACAGTTGATAGTTCAGTTTTCTAACTGTCAGCTAGTTGTTTAAACTAGCTTGTTTAGAACTAGAAGCTCATTTTACTCAATACATATTCTTTGGACGAAATACTGGTGTTTTGTTAATCAATTTCTACCGAAATTGCCTTTGTTAGACTATTTGTGGACGAACTTTAAAGGTTCTATTTGGACCAGTACTTTGGCAAGTTGGTAAATGATTGGAAAGGACGATTACAGTTGTGACGAACCAGAAATTCCTACAATTACAATACAACAAAGTACAAAATTCATAGTCTTTAGATTCTATTAAAGTATTTCCTTCAACTCTAACACTTTCAAAAATAAGTGATTTTTAAGTAATGTCACCAATTTTTTTGCAGAAACTTCAATTGAAAACTGGTAACAAAGAACAAGATAGCAAATAAAATGCACTTAGGAGAGTCTAGTCTAAGGGTTATGGGTGATGAAAAAGGTTAAGGAGAGATTAGGGTTGATTTAGGGTAAAAGTAATAGGAATGATTTGTGATCATTCAAAATCATTTAACAACAACTCTGAGGTTATCTTAGAAAAATTAATCATTAGTTTATACCTAACATATTTCCAGGTGGAAAAACTGGAATACTGCCATGAGATTCTTTATGTCTGATATAAAATAATTCTTTGGGATGTTTGGGTCTATGGTTCTCCTTATATACATTCTATGAATTCTAGGCAGGAGGTGTTTAGACAGAAGACAGATGGCGCTGAATTATACAAGTTATATAGATTTGACAGCAAACTGAACTTTTTTTATCTCAATAACCAATTAAAATGTTCTATCATTTAGAGAAAATTTTTTGAGGATTTTCTTTGAAGATAGTCAATTTTTATATTTGTGCTCAATTATTACTATCCAAAAGATGAAAATCTTCCAAATTAAATCCATTTTTGGTGAAAA